CTGCTCCCCTCAGCAGTGTACTTCATCGATCTGCCTGTTCTGCTCCCCACTCTGTCTCTGGTGAATCCTCTCACCCTTCACATCTCTGGCCTGTACCCCAGTTCTGTACAAATATATAAATCTTTTTTTTAAAGAAAACAGCAATAAAACCATACACACATACAAACTCAATTTTGAAACTTCCTGGAACTAAACACTTTCCATGAGCCTTTATGATAATTGTTTTGTCATTTTAATTTTAGCTTACATACAAATTCAAAGATTCACCAAATCATTTGGAAAGTACTTTAACACGTACTTAGATTGCGGTAAACTCTATAATCTGTACTTTTTTCTTCTTTTCTCTACCCCCCTAATTGCCAGCATTTAACATTTCCCCCTCACATTTAAAGCAGTGTGTAGTTTTACCAGAAGGACATTTTGTACTTGTATTCTCATTACTGCATCTCTTTTATTTATTGGTGTAGATAAAACTGTCTATTCAGTATTTTGAGAATGTCAAGGATGTAGCATTCTATGTAGTTTGTAATGTGATCAAATTATAAAAGCTCTTAGCAATGAAAGGACATTATTCATTGGACCTAGTTGTATTTGAGATAATTGATGGATAAGATGATAAACTGACTTTTAGGATTTTTCCTAAGAATTTACATAGGAATTAACCACTTAAATTGATATAATCATGCTGAAAGAAATCTTTGCTGTCATTTAACTTCTTCATTTTCTCTTATAAAACTAAGGTTCTAAGAAGTTTCATAGCAATTGCTTTGTCCAAGGTTATATTCAGTTTCAGGTGTCCTGATTCCCCATTCATTTTTCCTTCAAGGATGTGATACTGCCAGTGATTCCTTTTTTGTTTGTTTCCTTTAGAATAATGATTTGATTTTTTTTTAATTTTGTGTGTGCTCAATCTTAAATAATTTAATCATTGCAGAAAGAAAAACAGCTAACCACCTGAAATCCTTCTTCCAACCAGAAAAGTATCAGTTTTAGTATTGACAGAATGTTATTGTATGTGTTTCTCCATGTATACATACAGATAGAAAGCTAAATGGATGACTAGGCATGTTCAGTTTCATAAGAACAGGAATATAATATAGTAGAATATAGTAGGCTTTTTTTTTAGAATAAAATATTAAATATTTTAACAGAAGGAAAATGGAGACAATAAAATTTTCTATGACAACATATTAATGAGTTCCTGAAAATTATTCTGTGGTTAAAAATGATTGTTAAATGCCTGGAGTTGAGATCCTTGCTTTTCCTTTATCAAGTAGAAATGTCATCAAATAGCTGGCAGATTTTGATATATGATGATATAAATAAATATAGCATATACTATATATCTATTAAACTGTTATACATAACATTTGTATATATACACAAATAGAACATAGATTCATATCATATGAGTAATGGTAGACTTCAGAGAATCATTTCCCATCCAAAACTATAAGAAATATTTCATAATTATATTAAATGCCTTCTAACTTGAAATTATCGGGATCAGTAGTTAATGACTGAGTGAAATGTTACTGCAGAAAGTTATAAAAAAAATTGTAAGTATATGCCCTATATATTTTATTTCAACTACACATCATTTATATGTGTTCATTTTTTCTCTCTTGAAGTTTATTTTTTCTATCAGTATAGGTCTCCTAGTTGAAGCGTCACAGCGTATTTTTTTTTGTATTATTTATAGTTAGCCATAGCTATCTTCTACTGTTTAGAGTTTAGATTTCCTTAAAATAAAAAGAACACTTAGAAACATTTTTTAAAATAGCATGAGTAAAGAATCCTTCTATTTCTATTATTTCTCCCAACAACTTACAACTGTATTGCCCACTTCTAATTTGACAGCAGTTATTTTTTTTTAATGACTCTTGTTCAGTCTCTAAAAAGGACTTAGGAACAGCAAATTCTCACCACTAATATTTTATCCTATTATGTTACATTTAAGTTGTTTGATTATAATAAAATTGATGTAAAGACTTAGAAATGAATACAATTTATTTTTGGTGCACATACAAGTAATTTGTGTAAGACAGTCCTTGGGAAATATTGGAGAGTATCTAATGATGATGATATTAAGCATTCTGTGGGCATCATTTATAATAAATTTTGAAAACATCTTTAGTTATCAGCCAAGTCTCTTGAAAGGTGTCAGGTTCTTTGAAAGAAATGTCCTCTGTTATATGTATTTTTGTGCAGGAAAGGACCCATACCATCCAAGAGGTTCTCCAAAAGTTCTGTAGTGAAAAATAAAAGTCACACTCCATTTGTACATCATTTTGGAAATGTACTTCAGGATGGCACTACTCTTTACTTTCTATATTTTTCTTCACAATATTTTCATTATTAACTTACATAATGAATAACATTCTCACTTTGACAACTATAACATATATAAGAATAAACTTACTGAATAATAGTTTAATACTTTTTAAAAGCTGTTAGTATTTACTGAAGGACATAATTTTTTTTAAGATTTATTTATTTATGCATACAGAACTGGGATATAGGCCAGAGGTGCAGGGGCGGTGAGAGGATTCACCAGAGACAGAGTAGGGAGCAGAACAGACTGACTGTCGAAGTACACTGCTGAGGGGAGCAGCAGGGGGGAGCAGCAGGCGGGTCAGGAGATGTCTGCCACGCCACGTGGATCACGTCCTGGTGGGGATCGAACTCAAGCTGAAGAGGCTTTAGCTTCTTAGTGCTGTGCTTTAGCCCATTGCACCACCAGGGAGGGCCCTAAAGGACATAATTTTAAAGATAAACTTAACTACATTTAGAGATGTATCTTATTTCTGAATGAAAGGACTCAATATTGGAATATGGCTGCTTCTATCAAATTTGTAAATTTTAGTCAGTTGGTGAAAAATTCCTGGATTTGGAAAGAGCATGACATTCAGCATTTAGTCATTGTTATACATATACCATATATCTGTGACTATATTAAGCTATAACTGACAATATAAGAGAACAACAACAACAACAAAAAATGTCCAGAACCATAGATATTGAATGTATGTCTGTATATATTGGGGAGGGGGCTGAAGTATAGGTATGGTAAAGGTGGCATTTCTGATCACTGCGTAAAGAAAGGATGGATTATTCAAGAAATGTGTTGCAACAATAAGCTATTTGGGAAAATGACATTCCTTTACTAGGTATCATGCAAATAAAAATCCAGGTGGAATAAAATAAAACCTAATCATAAAATATAATATTATAGAAGTATAAGAATAAAAACAGATATTTGTGTAATCTTGAGATAGAAAAAGTCCTTAAGTAAAAAAAAAACTTCATATGCTGTCAAAGGGAAAAACAATATATTTTACAACTTCAAAATAAATAAATCTCTGTTGATCCAATATACCATGCATGAAGTTAATGGATAATGGGGACTATTTGTAACATATATGACAAAGACAAAATAACATACTATATTAACAGTTTATGTAAATCTGTTGGCTTAAATAAATTGGAGCATGCAAAATTAAGTGATTGTATTAAAGAATCACGGATAAGATTTGGAATCTAGGAAGTGTCTGATGTATTTTACTCTGACAACTGTTCAACAGTCTCACAATTGAACTGATTTTATAATATAGGTAGGAACAGTGAATAATTGTCATTAAAAATGTAATTATTTTTGACAGGGAGGCTTCTGTTTGTAAGTTTTGACCCGAACATGCATACACAGATCCTATCTGTGCACAAAGCAAGGCCAGTGCTGTACTTTCATCACATCCCTGATTTCTAAAGAATAAACTGTGGTATCTGGCCCCTTGGTCATTAGTTTTGGGTTGCAAAGC